CAAGCGTGTTCTTCCCTTTTGGCTTTTGTGTCTCCAGGTCTTTGCACATGTCATTATAATACTTTACTTTGTCTTCTCGAGCTGCCCTTTGAAATTTTCTGTTCAACTCTTACGTCATCATTTCTTCCTTTTGCTTTAGCTACTCTACGTTCAAGAGCAAGTTTCAGAGTCTCTTCTGATACCCATTTTGGTATTTTCTTTCTTTCCTATCTTTTTAATGACCTCTTGCTTTCTTCACGTATGATGTCCTTGATGTCATTCCACAACTCACCTGGTCTTCGGTCATTAGTGTTCAATGAGTCAAATCCATTCTTGAGATGGTCTCTATATTCAGGTGGGATATACTCAAGGTCGTACTTTGCTCTTGTAGACTTGTTTTAATTTTCTTCAGCTTCAACTTGAACTTGCATATGAGCAACTGACGGTCTGTTCCACAGTCAGCGCCTGGCCTTGTTCTGATTGATGATATTGAGCTTCTCCATTGTCTATTTCCACAGACGTAGTCGATTTGATTCCTGTGTATTCCATCTGGCGAGGTTCACGTGTATAGTTACTGTTTATGTTGTTGAAAGAAGGTATTTGCGATGAATAAGTCTTTGGTCTTGCTAAATTCTATCATGTGATCTTTGGTGTTGTTTCTGTCACCAAGGCCATATTTTCCAACTACCAATCTGTCTTCTTTGTTTCCAACTTTCACATTCCTGTCACCAGGAAACATCAGTGCATCTTGAGTGCACGTTTGACCAATTTCAGACTGCAGATGTTGGTAAAAATCTTCAATTTCTTCATCTCTGGCTTTAGTGATTGGTGCATAAATTTGAGTAATAGTAGTATTAAGTGTTCTTCCTTATAGGTGGATGGATATTATCCTGTCGCTGACAGTGTTGTATTTCAGGATAGCTCTTGAAATGTTCTTTTAGACAATGAATGCGACACTATTCCTCTTCAATTTGTCATTCCAGGCATAGTAGATCATATGATTGTCCCATTCAAAATGGCCAATACCAGTCCATTTCAGCTCACTAACGCCTAGGATATCGAACTTTATGTGTTCCATTTCGTTTTTGATGACTTTCAATTTTCCTAGATTCATACTTTGTACATTCCATGTTCCAATTATTAACGGATGTTTGCAGCTGTTTCTCTTATTGTGAGTCGGGCCACATCAGCAAATGAAAGTCTCGAAAGCCTGACTCCATCCATGTCATTAAGGTCGACTCTACTTTGAGGAGGCAGTTCTTCCCCGGTTGTATTTTGAGTGCCTTCCAACCTGAAGGGCTCGTCTTCTGGCACTGTATCAGACGATGTTCTGCTGCTATTCATAAGGTTTTCACTGGCCAGTTTTTTCAGAAGTAGACTGCTAGGTCCTTCTTCATGGTCTGACTTAGTCTAGAATCTCTGCTGAAACCTGTCCACCGAGGGTACCAAACCAAAAACCAAACCTGTAGCTGTCGAGTCAATTCTAACTCATAGTGACCCTATAGGACAGAGTAGAACTACCCCATAGGGTTTCCAAGGAGCAGCTGGTGGACTCGAACTGCTGACCTTTTGGTTAGCAGCCGAGCTCTTAACCACTGTGCCAGCAGGGATCTCTTGCTGGTATTTGAAATACCGGTGGCAAGCTTCCAGGATCGCAGTAACACACAAGCCACCACGGTACAGCAAACTGACAGACACCTGGTGGAAAGTCATGGTAGGTAAAAAGATAATTTGACAATCAATATAACTAATAATTAATAAAATAACAGTCATTAAATCAGATAAAATAAAATATTGTGCACTGCGTGGCTTAGCTGTGAATAAATTTCATAGGTTATGGGATCTAACTATAATTATGGAGGCTAATGTGGGAAGACAGGGGGACAATAAGTGAGGGTGGGTGTTGAAAAAGGTCAAACGTCCATAATGGAAAGTTCATAGATAATGACAAAATTGGAAAATCAAGTTTGCACACATGGAGGTAAATATGAAAATAAAGAGCTAAAGTACTTGAAATTGGTTGGCTCTGGGGAGCAGGGGTCAAATAAACTGGGGCAGGATTCTCTCTGTCCTACATAGCACTGTGCCCTTTAGTAAAGAGAAGAGATCCTTATTGTCCCACAGACAGAAGGAAGAGATGGTAGAGACCAGGGATACAGGAAAACTGAGCTGTGGAGGCAGAGATAAGGCGACAGGGGAGATGAGGGGTGAAGAAGAAATCTAACAAGAGCTGGCTAAATGGGAAGACAGGACTGCCAAGCAGCTGGGAGGTGGCAACTAGAGTTAGACTACCCAAGTTTGTAATGGATCAGGTCAGCAAGGTCAGTGGTTAAAGGGCGGCTCTAACTAAAGCTCTCTGGGAACTTCTGGCTCCACACAGGGCCTCACTGCCTATCAGTAAACCAAACTGCTGGGGGCACTTGCCGAAGGTCCTGGGGTGGCGCCAGAGGTTTGCACTTGGCTACTAACCAAAAGGTTGGTGGTTTGAACCCACCTAGTGCCACGGAAGAAAGATCTGCTTCTGTGAAGATTACTGCCAAGAAAACACTATGGTGCTCAGTTCTACTCTGTAACACATGGGGTCACCATGAGTTGGAATCAACTTGACAGAAATGGGTTTGGTATTTTTGGTTGGGCATTTTCCTAGTAAGTGATTCACCTAAGACATCAGGAGGTAATACAGGGGAAAAAAAAAAGCACTGAGTCAGGAGACCCCCGTTTTCATTTTGCACTGTTCCATCTAACTGTGACACCCTGGACAAATCATTGAAAATGTAGGGGCCAAATAAGCACTAAATATAAGAAGTCTATGATTCTACACCTTCTCAACATCCTTACCTACAACCTATTTTTTTTTTTTTTCTTTATCACTCTTGACTTCTGAGGAGAGAATGATTACAAGTACCACATGGACCTTTTCGTTTCACAAAAGTCAAGAAAATACTAAAATTCAAGCAGACTAGACCCTCCCTTGGCGAATGGGCTCCCTCTCACACCTCTTAAGACAAGGCTTTGCACTAAGCAAGACTCAATAATAATCTCCCGCCCAGCACTGGTGTGGCTTTCCTTTGCTCCAGGCAACTGTCCAGAGGATTCCTTCATTAAAATCTTTCTATGAATCATTCAGGGGTAAGTACCATCTCTATTTGCAGCTGGGGAAATAGAAACATCATAAAAGAGAAATGAAAATCTGTGGTGTATCTGAAAATAGCACCCAGATATCTTGGCTTTCCAGTTCACCTTTCTGCACTATCCAACTCTTCCTTGGACGTGCTCCATACACTACAGGTGGACTGGGACCCCCGACTCTCTGACAACCCTGGATCTGTTATCAAACTGTCTCCCACTAAACGCAACGGGGTTCCTAATTCTGCCCCATCCTGATGGACCTTGTCCTAACTCCTTCCCCACTCACTGCAGGTGCCCCTGCAGTCACATGCTTTTGTCAAATGAGCTGCAGTTTCAGGCTGCTCACTCTGCAGAAAAGAACAGAGAGAAAACGGAGAGAATTGGAAAATATAGCTCTCTCCTGGGAACTCCACAGCCTCCAGCTTATAAAATACAACCACCTTGCTCCCTTCTCTCAGAGTCCCCACTGGCCAGCAGCACTGCCTCTGAGGCTACCACCACCCCCTGCCCCCCAACTTGGTCATCCAAGAGCAATAAAACTTGCTGAGGGGACCTCCTGGTGTCCTGACCTGGATTGGAAATGCAAATATATAACCAACTGGAGAGGAAAGGAGGCTGAATAAAAGGTTGGGCCTCTCTCTCTTTCTTTTAGTGATACCCATGGACCCTAGCTGAGCCTTTCCACCATGCTCTCAGCTTCCTCTGCCTCCAACAAACTTTGTGATTCACAGTCTGTTGGCTCAGCGAGGCCGCTGAGTAGCCTCAGTGCTGGGTTAAATTGGGAATGTACTGTTCTCCAAACACTCACCCCTCAGGGGCCACCTGAGCCCCCACCTGACAGTGGAGGTGGGAGGTGAGCACACCTCCAATTTTTTTGCTGGCCCTAGAAGAGCTGCCAGGAGACTTGGGTTCTGAGGCATATCAGTTGGTTAGGGCCATTTCAACCCCTACGCTGCTGCTCAGAGCACCTGGAGGGAGGCTGTGTTAGGCAGTGGAAGCTTAGGCTGGTCTGGGTCCCAGTGCTCTGCTCATCAGAGCTGCTATGTGGGACCCAACCTGTTCTCTCTTCTTCACCCGTACCGCCTCCCAAACCAGAGGAATCCCTGGCAAATTATAAAGCGGAACAGTGAATCATGAGGGGCTGGCTAACTGTTGCACATCACTTGAAGGGAGACATACGAAGGGGGAGGAGGGGTCAGAGGGCAGCCAGAAGGTGGCCACCCAGAGCTGTGGTGCACCCTCTCAGCAGTTCCTCCTCCCTTCATCACTGGGGAGGGCAATACTGGAAGTTAGGGAACCTGGGTCCCACGAGGTGGCAGGCGCAGGTGGAGGGCAAGTCCATCCAGGGGCGGCGAGAGAAGGCGGCCAGAACCGGTGCTCTCCCCAGCCCTCTGCAGCACTGCGACGCCTCCCACAGCCTCGGAGCCGGGCAGCGAGGCGGCGGCGAGCGTTTGCCCTGAAGCCTGGAGCAGCTTCCACGTATAAAACTCCCCGAGCACAAACCGCTTTTGTTAATTCTGCAAATTCTGTCACACCACCAGCTCCACCAACACTTCCTCTCTGCTCGGCTCCAAGAGAGACCCGCTTCAGCCGGCACCCAGCCGCGCCCAACAGCTCAGCCCTCCAGCCCCTGACGGGCCACCGCCCACCCGCCCCCTGTGCCGGCACACCGCGGGCCCGGAGGACCTCCGAGGACCACACGGTCCCCATCCCCTCGGCATCTTTGTCTCCTCGGAACAAACGCGCGCGGAAACCGAGCCCTGCCCCGCACCGCGTCCGCGCCCGCGCCCTCGCCCTTCGCCAGGGCCACGCAGGGCACAGTGGTCCCCGTGCTGTAAGTTTGCGGAGTCGGCCCGCCGCGGGCCGGAGCCCGGAGGCAGAGCTCTCCTTACCGTACATCTCAGCTCGGCAGGCGCCTCCCGGGAGGCCGGCGTCGCTGCGTCGCTTGCACCCGGCTCCCGGAGGCTCAGCCTTTCATTCACCGCCAAGGCCGTGGCTGGCGGCCGCGGGGGGAGGGCCGCGCCGGACAGAGCGCTCGGAGCGAGGGCCGGACCTTGGGATCGGGCGAGCAGCCACCGGCCCAGTCAGCTCCCGAGGCTGAGACTGGCGGCCCGGTCTCCTTGCTCTGGTGTCTGGGCCAGGCTGGGAGGCGAGGGGAGGTGGCTATGCTAATATGCACCTCCCACCCTCCCCGCTCGGCCACTGGCCGGCGGCTCCCGTGCTCCCGCCCCGCCCCGCCCCAGCCAAATCTCCTCCTCCTCCTGCTGCCTCTCCCAAAGCACCAGCCGAGAAACCCAAATCCCAAGATGCGCTTTTTCCGAGGCGGTTACCCGTTGGGACTGGGCAACAACGTTTACCTGGGGGAGTCACCCACCCGAACTCCCTGCTCCAGTCGGAGTGCTCAGGCTAACAGCTGAGATCTCCCCTAACGTGCGGGCAGGGGCGCTGGAAGCTGCTGCCACCCCAGACCGACAGGTTACCCCCTCCCCCAGATTTGTCCAGGATGCATAGGCTGAGCCAGGGGACGCGAGGAGGAGGAATTGGAGCAATGACCCTTCACCCTCCCTTGGCCTGGCTTAACTAAACCCTATTCTCTGATTAAGCTGCTTGAGACCAAAGAGCGTCCTTCCTGGGTCAGGTACACAGGAAACGCCCCTCCTTCCCTTCCCCAAGTGCTGCAGGAAGTCAGCTTGCTTTTCCTCTCCCACATTTATACGTGCAATTTACTAGCGTTGCCGCAAGGATCCCGTCCACCTGTGCCCCAGCGCCAACTTGAGTTCCATCTCCCCACCGTATGTGACCCTGTGAGAAACAGACGCAGAGCGGCAAAGGCTCATGCCAATGCCACACACCTTGGTATCTCCTAGCCCAACTCAGGGCTTCCCTAAGCCCCCTCGTCTAGCCTCCTCTTTATTTGACCACATTTCACACATTCCCCTGTGTTTTCAGTGTTCCTCCTTAACCTCTTGCTTCATGGTTGGGATAATCTTTTTTTTAGTCTTAAAATATTCTACTACTAGAAGTTAGATTAGAGAGGACTTTAAAGATGGTGTAATGACCACATTTTACAGAAGAGAAAACTGAGGGCAGGGTGGTTAATTTGTATTGTTTTCTAGGTATACTGGGCTTCCTACAGGACTGTTGGGAAATTTAAATTAAAACCTATGATGGCACAGAACCAAGCAATGTTTAGTTCTGTTATACATAAGGTTGCCATGAGTTGGAGCCCACTCAATGGCAACTAACAACAACAGCTTTCTTAAGACTCTGAGTCAGTGTTCTTTCTACTACAGATTCTTCTAATTTGTAGGTGCAAGTAATGGCCCCACTAAGCTTGCATGCTAAGCACTCAGCCTCACTGTTTCTTAGGTAAGAAGTTACTAGCCATTCCAACTAGTCATTTCTGATTTCTATCTGAAAACCATCATGACAGAGGAGAAGGTCAATTCCCTAAGTTCTAGAGTGTTCCCTGTTGTTAATCTTTACTTAATAAAGTTTTTTCTTTTTCTTTGGAGGTGTGAAAATGTCAGCTTTATTTCTGATTACTGGGATTGTGGCTTTAGATCTGCAGCCAAATGGGCTAATACACTCCAAATTGTAAGTCCAGAGTGGGATCCTCTACCTGAAGGTAAGTTCGAATCTACAGAGTCGATTGGGTTGTCTTTTTGTTGTTAAGTTGTTGACATTTTTAAATATATTTTGGATATTAGACCCTTATCAAGTATATGGTTCCCAAAAATTTTGTCCTAATCTGTAGGTTATCTTTTCACTTTGTTGATAAAGTCTGTTGATGAACAAAAATAATTAATTTTTATAAGATCCCATTATAAAAGATCTATTTGGTCTTTTGCTGCTCTTGCTTTTGTTGTCTTATCTAATAATCGTTGTTAAAAAGTAAGTCCCACAGTCATGCCCCTATATTTCTTCTAAGAATTCTATGGTTTTAGTTTTCATATAAGAAACTGATTTAATTCTCTTGGAGACCAGATTCCTGGGGTCCATGGAGTTGGGGTAACCCACCAAAGTCATTGCTCAGTAGATGTTCTTTTGAAACTTGAGCCTTGAAACTTGTTTCCAAAAGTCACCTTTGAGTCAAACAATGGTCCAGATGAACTAGTAAGTCATTTTGCCTTGGGCATTGTGTTCTCTTGAAGAATTCAGACAGTTTTGGGAAATAAGACTCCAAAGCTTAGTCTAGAGCTATATTTTGGGTAAATCAGTAATTATTTTAATTGTTCTCCAAGACAATGCTGTGTGAAATCCTTCCTGACTACAAATTGTTTATCAATTCTGTTCTGGCCTTTTTTCCACTTGTTGTTAGATGCCTTCCAGTCGGTTCCAACTCACAGCAACCTATGTACAACAGAAAGAAACACTACTTGGTCCTGCACCATCCTCACAATCGTTGCTATGTTTGAGCCCATTGTTGCAGCCACTGTGTCAGTCCATCTCGTTGAGGGTCTTCCTCATTTTTCACTGACCCACTACTTTACTAGGCATGGGGTCCTTCTACAGGGATTGGTCCCTCCTAAAAACATGTCTAAAGTACATGAGATGAAGTCTTGCCATCCTTGCTTCTAAGGAGCATCTGGCTGTACTTGTTCATTCTTCTGGCAGTGCATGGTATAGTCAACGTTCATTGCCAATACCATAATTCAAAGGTACCCATTCTTCTTCAGTCTTCCTTACTTATTGTCCAGCTTTCCCATGCATATGAGGTGATTGAAAATACCATGGCTTGGGTCAGGTGCACCTTAGTCCTCAAAGTGACATCTTTGCTTTTTAACATTTTAAAGAGGTCTTCTGTAGCAGATTTG